GATTTATATTATTGTCGACTGAGCATTTCAGAAATTAGTCGTTTCTTGTAATTTGGCTCATTGTCTAGTATTTTAAGGTAGTCGATCACCTACCAATTTTTACTTCGGTTTTTATAAAAAAAAGTATGTTATAGATTAAATTTTTCGTTTTCAGAATAAATTATTAAAAAATATACCTACCACATTGGTTTTTGAGATAATAAAGTTGNGACCGAGCGTAAAACCCGTCCTTTATCGTAGTCTATCAGCCACCACTTTTTAATTTTGCTTTTCTTGAAAAAAATGTACGTTATAGATTGAATTTTTTCTTTTTTGGAATAAATTATAAAAAAATATTTCTACCACATTGGTTTTTGAGATAATAAAGTTGGAAGTTTAAAATTTTAACACAGGTTACAATGGGACTTTTCAAATATAGGAAATAAGAGCTACTTGAGTAACTAAAAATATTCTGAGAAATATACCCTTAAAAAGTTTACAATTCGTACTGTTTTATACAATATTTTAAAACTGTTGGGTCACCAATATAGATACAAAGATGTGAATCATTTAACAATTGTTATGTACCTTGTCTGCTGCTTACGTAAATGTCTCAAATATTTGGCAACAGAGCAGCCGCATATATATAGCCATTTGCGAGAGTGCGTGTGTGTAATAGCAAATGTATGACAAGCTGATCGACACTGTTGCCATATTTCAGCAAAACGTAATAAGCCTTTTCTACATCTAAATGTTATGTGTATTTGGAATGCACTAACAAATGATGCATCGTAGATAGGCCTGTGGGTGATAGACTGCCTGAACGTGGTTCTTTCATGAAATGATTATGAACAGATTAACATGAAACCTTGAGGAATCATTTATTAAGGTACAATATACTACCCCTAAAAATTTTAGAGTAGGCTGACGAATACAAATGCAAGAAAATGATAAATGAAAAGTAAATTCTAAACATGTGCGTTTGTGTCAACTAAGCGTTTTTTAAATGAAAGTTGTAGCCTAGTTATTTATTTACTTAACATAATTAAGTAAAAAACTAACACAACAAAGCTTATGCAATTCCAAATATACTATCATCTCGAAATACATACGTATACGTTCACGGACTTGATCAAAAGATATTAAAAGAAACATAGGCATACATTTTCGTTTCCTATGTTGAATGCATAGGCAAGCATCCACAGCTGGTGTTTTGAGGTTAAGTGCAAATGTTACATAATCATTCCTACTTTTTTGATATCAGGTATCATGATCTAAAATTTTGAATCAGTAATTAATTTGACTGAATAAATAATATTTACAAATAGTCGTATGAAATTGAGACAGTATTAATAAATATCAATTTGATAGTCGCACCTTTCACTTGGAAGTCATGAAAGAACCATCTTCAAGTGGCGACACGTGTGCCATTCTATTTCTTTTTATAATGTATAATTGCAACTTTAGTAGGGTTTTACATCGTTATTATTGTTGTATGTGATATTATTTTGATGACTGTCATTTAATTTTAATTTTTATCGTTATAATGCATTATAAACTATTAGTATGCTAATGATTCAAGTTTTACCACACTAATCACAAATTTTTCATTGTGTTCATTTTATTTTATGAAAGTGATGATAATGTTTTTTTTAGCAGATGATAATAGCTTGATCTAGAAACCGCTCAGTTATACATATCCATGCGCTTAAATTTTTTTTTCTCAGTAGGGAAGGGGGTAAGAGCTCTCATAAAAAATGTCCCAGCAGAGATCCCCTATTACCTTTGTCTGTTCATGTAAACTTTCAGAGATCGACTGCAGGATGAAATCCACCCTGCTAGTACGATATGTCCTAAAATTAGAAATCTGCAAGCCAAATCAAGGGTGACCACGCTACACACTTCTACGATACAACCCTCAACAATCCATGCAGCCCTATTCAGCTATGGAAATTTAGTTCGGAAAATGTTTAATGTAATTTTTTGAGATGAAATAAAATAATATGTTAGTATTAAAATCCATGAAGGTTCAAAATTGCGCATAAATTAAAAAAAAATTATAGACTTACTATTACAAATAATAGATTAATAAAAAACAAGCATTAAAATGTATGCAATAGGTTGCAGTTTTACAATATAATATTAAACAAATACATGCTGTTGTACAAAATTCAAACAAAATTCAAATTACATAATGACCTTGAACCGGAAAGAATTGGCACTTTTAAAAATGACTTTCACTCGTTGCAGGTAATGCCATAAGCCGGGCTCTGGTGGTTGGTCGATGCCCAGCCTACGACGAGCAGAACGTCTGCCCAGCCCGTGCCGCTGCCTGCAGCTCCGACCCCGATTGTCAGACACCGCTGGAACGATGCTGCGCCACCGCGTGCGGTAAGCGCTGCGNGCTTTTACACTCTTCTTGTTCGTGATGGCTGCACAGCACTTCTAGTCAAACTGGGTATCAAGCTGCTTTTCATTTTTACCCACCTTCACTTTTTCATCCACGTTTTCATTAGGCCTACAAAATCGAATTTCTTTATGAACTTCAATAAATCTATACCCTTGTTCATTACGCCAGCTGCGTTTCAAAAACACCCTTTTCCTTCTATTTCTTATTCTTCCTTTTCACTCCACCTAGCTATTCCGACTGTTTCTGCTTCTTCCTTTGACTGAACTCTCCTCTCTGCTGTAGGGACGTGATATCTTAAGGAAGGCGGATTTGACCCGGGGCAAATGAAATCACTGATAGTTATATGTGTGGACTCTTTATTGCCTATATAGTCTGATCGACTTGGACAGTGACTAAAATAAGGTAAAGGTACCACCTAGAAACACTTAAATGATTTCTGTCCTCCTCATGAAACAGTAGGAATGAATATAGTTTTAGATGATTGTTTACGAAGAAATTATTCTCGTACAATCTTTTAAGTGTAAACTTCTTTAAACAGTAAAATTTTTTATTTGTTTCATGTTCTGGTAAATAAAAAAAAAAAGATTATCGTGAAGTGCTGTTTTAAATTGGGGACACATCGGGAACATAACCTCAAACACATAATTAATTCCTGATCATCTTTTTGGTAACCATGACAATTGTATGACATGGTGTTCCACGTCGGTAAAATTACGAAACGATGGAGATACTGTAAAATTAAAAGATATTTATGATTCGAAATTTGTTGATATGTTTCGCAAATTTTTATAAGAAAACAATGGTCGATCTGCAAAAGTAACCAAAAATTTAAAGCATATAGAAAAAGTAATCAAAAATTTTTCTTCATTGTGAAATTTTGAACATTTATCTATAGTATCAACTTCTTCTACTGTAGCTGTGAATTATGATGAAAACGAATAAACATATAAAAACCATACTGTTGTTATTTTAAATGGTTACATATTTCCTTTGTAAATGATCGGCTATATTTGAATTTTCGTGTTTTTTATTACCAGCTGTTTCTATGTACAACGAAAATTACAGGTGTATTTTGTGCATTTATTTTTACTTTAGATGCAAATAACTCGACAACCAGACACAAGATCTTATCTAAATTTGAATACAATAATCTTGAAATGTTAAGCAACAACATGTTAGTTTTTTGACAATATGTCTAAATTTTCTTCCAAGATAAATTTAAAACAGTGACGAACACAACCTACCTTTCCATAACACGCCATACATAATATAGAAAAAAACACGGACTTAGGATTTAAATATCTCTTATATGAGACACAGGAATCATCTCATATTTTGACAGGACGTGTATTATTACTCAGATTAAAACACATTAAATTTTTATTAGGATCTATCAATTTTTTTTATGACCTATGTACCTTAACGAATATGTTAATATTTTGTAAATTTATTGTTTTCTAGATCGAAAAATCACTCGATAAAAAATGCTCAAAAAATTATTTTTTATCTCTGACAATCGGAGTAATTCTAATTAACAATTCCAATAAATTTTACTTCATTGATACTTAATTTGTATTTGGTATGAGCCACCTTAAATTTTAAAAATCTGACTTTAATTTATCATCAGTGAACCCAAAATCATTTGATCGTGTCTATTAGAAATTTATAGGAATTTTATAAAGTTCAAAAATTACAGTATGAGTAAATGTCCACCATATTGAATCTGTTACCTCGAATTTTTCAAATAACACAAGATTAAGAATTGATAGCCGTCCAAACCCTTTGAGAATCATTGGTTTTTTTTTTTTTAATTTTGCTTGGAATATTAATTTAGCCTAGATCATAATTGAGACTTAAGGAGGTTCAATCCCTCGCTATGGTCCATGCGATGCTCTCTATAGTTTGGTATGTCGTCTGTCTTTCTCGCTCTCCTGTGACAACATAATCTTTTGTAGTTCTTACCTTGGTTATTAATTAATTTCTTCTCTCGTTAGTACCCTCGAGATGCTCAATAAAATTAAATACAATCTTTAGATACCATTTTTTACCATTGATAAAGTTTTCATCTAAAGTTCATTGTTAATAAGTGAGGTAAATGCAATAGAAGCGCTTAAAAAGAGGACACCCCATAAGCCTATATGTAAAAATTAGCTAAATATGAATATTAATTACTCAGCTCCTAGGAACCCTTGTGCCTTCAAATTTTGACAGTGCCATTTTTATGACTTTAATCATTTGCAAACAAATTTTCATCTAATTCTCATTGTTAATTCATTTACTGATAGAACTCCCTTAATGTCAGACTAGTGAGCTTGGGGGGAGTAAGCAGCAGCACGCAGGACAATAGCTGATTGATTGTCACAACCCATAAGACAACCCATAACACAGGGTTTCATCCATTGTTTGTTGCAAAGTGTATGTATGTATGTATATATATATACGCCTTGTAAATTTTGCAACAAATGGCGGAGGTTCTGCTGCTCACTCCATCGAAGCTCACTATGCCAGATTTACCTTTTACACAATTGACTAATTAATTCAATTTTTTATGAATATTTTCACGTGTCTGTTAATACGTGTAGGATTAATCAGAGAAAAAAATGTTCCTTACCTCGGATTCTGTGTCAAGATCATCGTTTAATTTGAGGAAACTTGGCAAGCTGCTCAACGTTTTAATTGCTCTGGCTAAAATCTGTTTGTTATCCCTCAACAAATATACGAGTACTTCTTTGGGTGGAGAATTTTCATTTGGACTGCGAATCAAGGGTACTAGTGTTTTAACACACTGATTGAGAATGTTGCCTACTTGTTCGCTTCTTTGGGGTAAAAGATCCTCAAGCATAGTATGTAAATACTTGCATGCCAATTTTGTAATAAATTTATCTTCCAGATTCGTTAAGTTCAATAGAGTACAGCCGATATCACGTATGAAATACGTCGCAACAGAATCACAGTAGCTTTCACGTAATTCTTGGACAATTCTCGAGCATAAGTAAACATACTGATGGAGAGCTTTAGCTTTGTGTTCGCTAAGCTGGTTGGTGTAAATTTGACGCACTAGTTGTAATAATACTTTTTGAAAGACGCTTGGTTTGCGAGCTATGATAAAGTAGACGATAGAATGATGGGATTCGCCACTACCAATTATTTTTGTGAGGCGTACGAAACACTGTTCGACTTCATCGCTTTTGTAGTGTGGAGGATCCGATGCGGGTAAATCGACAGTTGTTCCGAATATTTCGTAGAAATTATTAAGATCGTGTAATCGTTGAACTAAAAAAAAAACCAAACGATTAAAATCATTAAAAGTATATCATTGTTATTTTAAAACGTAACTCAATGTTGTAAAAATGTACAGAAAGACTGGTTTAACTTTAGAGTAAAAAATCATGAGTTTTTAATAGATTTTTGAAGATTGTAAAATTTTTTTACAGCTACCGCTAGTATACGTAATTTATTCCATAAATGGAATAATCACGAAAACCAGAGCATGTTTATTTAAAAGTGCTACGATGACTGTTAAAATTAGTAAAATCATAAAATGTGAATTAATTTGTCTACTAATATCATTGAGCAAGTAACTCATATGAATGTAATTGATTTTAAAGATCCAAAGAGTCAAAAACGTGTTGTAAAAGAAAGCGTTTAAGAGAATTATGGTTTTTCTGTTAAAATGTAAGAGTAAGATTTTTATGAAAATACCTGCTTGTATAATAATTTGTTGTAAGTTGTCTTTTACAAGCACTGTCAAGTTGCGAGTCCCTTGAAAAATTCCGCTGTTGTCTTTCGACTGTTTAAGTAGTTCTACTTTTTCAACTAACATCCAAGGTATAATTTTCGAAAAGCAGTCTTCAAAAGCTTGAGCAAATGGAACCTCAAATCTGTTGCAAAAATTTTTAGCGTCTTCTATCTTACCCTCACGAATTAATGCAGGAAATACACATGGAAGGTAACGACTACTAAAATCAGTCTCATTCTGGCAGTCAAGAAGTGCAAAAGGAAACATATTGAAACTGCTATCTCGACACCAGTACGTCAACAAATAATTCAAATTCTCTTCAATTATGGATTTGGAAGATAAGTTCGTTTTGTTGATTGCTTGTAAAACTTTTGTTATAATGTTTTCATCAATACCTGAAAAAATGTGTTTATATCAGTCAAACAATAATTCGATAGAATCGTGATAATCATCAGAATCAAAAAATATTACATTTTATTTTATATTTTCGTTAAATTGATCTATTTACTAATTACGTCAATGCTAGGTACACAAATCAAATAATCGTGGGACTACCGTTGATATAATATCCGTAGTTAAAATTTTATGAAAATTAAATATAGATGATGAATACTTAAAGAAAAACAGCTACTACTTACTAGTGTTGATTTTATTATTTTCTATGTACAACGAAAATTACAGGTGTATTTTGTGCATTTATTTTTACTTTAGATGCAAATAACTCGACAACCAGACACAAGATCTTATCTAAATTTGAATACAATAATCTTGAAATGTTAAGCAACAACATGTTAGTTTTTTGACAATATGTCTAAATTTTCTTCCAAGATAAATTTAAAACAGTGACGAACACAACCTACCTTTCCATAACACGCCATACATAATATAGAAAAAAACACGGACTTAGGATTTAAATATCTCTTATATGAGACACAGGAATCATCTCATATTTTGACAGGACGTGTATTATTACTCAGATTAAAACACATTAAATTTTTATTAGGATCTATCAATTTTTTTTATGACCTATGTACCTTAACGAATATGTTAATATTTNATGCTAATACATTAAAAAACTGAGATAGAAAAATAAAAAAGTTCCAAAGTATACGTGTACAGTGGAGGCCGTTTAATTCGTTGAGCGGGAAGTATAAAATCGACCAATGAAAGAGGTTATGTGATCGAATCAGCCAATGGGAATTAAATGTTTAATTTCCCACTCAACGAATTTAACAGCCTCCACTGTACATTATAATATGTATGTATCTATTAGTAACCAAAGATAGGCAAATTTGTGACTTGAAGCTTTTGTATTTGATAAAAAAAATTGTCATCTCATAAATTTATGTAGGTTTACAGCACACACTGTGTTTGTCCTACAAAAAGTTACACTAAAAATACTATTAATATAATACAAATTAATAAAAAATCAGATTTAATGTTGCTGCTCCAAAAAATAAGCTAAACTTGAATTCATGTTTAAGGTTATGTTGAGAAGCGTTTTTTAATCCCACAAGTACAAACAAATATTTGAGAGTAATTCTTTTTTGGCAAATAATGTATTTATATCATTACTTTAATTTTATTATCAAAAAATTATTTTAATTTTGTATTCCCATTCATTCACAATGTTTGTTTCTGCTTTATTTAAGTACACTAACGCAGTTTCATTATTGGCCATTCTTAGCACTGGCTCTATATTCAAGCTACGTCCTAGTCGGAATTACAACGTCGTTATCGATCTGAAAACTTTTTTAAATAATCAAGAAAGGTTTTTTTTTGCACAAGGTACAACGGAATTCAGATGATAAAAAAAGTATTGTTTTAGTTTTAGATGAAATAAAAACTAAGGAGTCCATAATGTCGAATGCAGTAAGGTAAAAGTACGGATGCTGGGACGTACTTTTTGATTCTGTCCCAATAGTGGAACAGTCAATAACTAATAAACTTTTAAGAATTTTGTCATGAAATAAATTAATTTCAGATGTTAAAAGTAGTGTCTTATTATATCAACAAAACTTATCATCTATTTTCAATTGCATTACAATAAAAAAAAAGTTTTTAAAAATAGCTGTTTTATTATACGTACAAATTCAAAACATAACCTCAAATTTCATATGTCCCATTGGTGAAATACATAGATTCCATTGAAATAACATGTACGTTTAACTATTAGCACATCGCGTACCACTATTGAGACATGGATTTTCAATGGTGTTTCACGTTAGGTACAACAAGACATAGTAAGTTCTTATTAAATTAAAATAATTTCTTGTTATGATAAAATTCATTAAAAAATGTATTTAATAAGTAGGCAGCAAAATATATCAACAAGAGTTTAAATGTTCATGTTATCTCCTAGATGTGATTTTATATGAATTTTTAAACGAAATTTTACCAAAAATCGTCCCGGCATCGGTACTTTTACCTTATACACTCGCGAAGTGTTCGGTTGATATGGGTAAGATGATGGGTTACAATGTAGAGCTCCGAGCCGGTGCAGAGGCTGCGCCCTTTGTACCAGATATTTGACAAGTTCTTGCATGGGTGTGTTCCAGTAACTCTCTCCGACAACTTACCGACAACTTAATTATGTCTTACGATATCTTGCGTCATGTTTAAGTTGTCGGAGAGCGCTACTGGAACGCACGGCATGTAAACAAAGGCCTCATACCACGTGGCTGCTTGTGATTGGCAGGCTGTGAGAGAGAATGGCCATCCCCTCCTGTGGTCTCTTTTACTGGGCCTGCCAATCACGAGCAAAAATTTTTCTCTTACACATCTAGCAGGGCCCAAAAAATTTCAATTTATTTTGGTCATAGACAATACTAAAAGATATTATGAAATTTAAAAATTCATTCAAGTGATTATCCATTCTAGCCCTTGAAATATTCCGGTTCTCGTAAAATGACCCAATTAGAAATTATTCTGACGTACGTAGATGCACTGAGAAATTATTGGGGCATCCTCTCCCCAAGCATGGGCGTACAATGCACAAAATGCCCTTACAGCTGTTACCTCAGTCACTTGTACAGCAGCTGCCCAAGTCAGGGAGGGCTCGTGCTGCAGAGTTGGGCAGCAGTGACCTATAGTACTACCGGATAACTGATACTCTATGTATAAATAAGAGTTCAGTGTAGAAATAATATTAAATGTTTAATTAAGTACGAATCGTTCGATTTGCCACCTCTAAGTCAGACATCCTATTCTGCGATTTCTCTCCATTTCATGTTAAAGAAATATGTTTCAATAAATAAACCATAAATAATACAAAATGTCTAACATTACTATTAATCACGAATAATTATATTTTAACCCTTTAGTTACTTTTTTTAATTGCAGTATTTCATTTAAATGTTTATAACTAAATAAAAATAATATCAAAGCAATGGCTAATTTTATAAATAAAAGTATTAAAATAAAGTATCGTTAGCTGTCCCATAGTTAGTAGTATTACAAGTACCCTGTCTGAAAAATAATGTAGGTATTTCTGTCACGAGCATTTGTTAAAACTTTTTCATACCTCAAAGCGTTTACTGTAATCTTGAAAGAAAAAGTAGCGTTCCTCACATAAGCGCAATCCAACCGAGGCTACCCTATGGTCCCTCGGGTCCAGACTCAAGAAGTAGCCCCGGTGGCGATGGCGATTGTGTGACGAAAACTACTATTTTTAACTGCAGTAATAACATAGGAATCTAAGTTAAATTTAATTGCTAAAATAAAAAAATTTATGTTTCCTGTACATTTTGTCATGCATAATAAAGTTCTTTTTTAAATTCTATTTTTTTCAAACGAGAAAGTAAACTCACTTAAGGGCATTCAGTATATTATCTGCCGGAGTTTCTACTTTACCAACTTCTCTATTGTAAGAAATTATGGTTAATAACTAATTACCTAGCTGTTTAAGCCCGAAATAAGGAGAAGAACCCCCAAGCTGGCACTTTAAGGAATCAATCGAGCCCAAATTCAATGCAATCCGTTACGAATTGAGAGAGAAAAGTTACATTTCCTGATCATGAAAGAGTGTGTCAGTGTGCATAATCTGAAATGTAACCTTTATCAAAAACTAATGAATTGAATTAACTGAAACCTTGACAGAGCCTCTAAAATAAAAAGACAAACACCGGTCCTTTCATTATAGTTTTTGAAAATATACAGTTCAACATATAAACTTACGCAACATACGTAGATTTATAAGTTATAAAATGCCGTTTAAGATAAAAATCAATTTTTTAAAACTCAATAATTGAAAAATTATGGGAAGAGCTGCGTTGACTTTTTTATTTTAGAGGCCCAAATCAAAATTTCGGATAACTAAATGCATTATGTACACTAATACACTCTTTCATGATCAGGAAATGTAACTTTTCTTTCTCAATTTGTAACGGATTGCATTGAGTTTAGGCTCGATTGATTCCTCAAAGTACAAGCTTGGGGGCTCTTCTCCTTATTTTGGGTTTAAACAGCTAGATAATGAGTTATTAACCATAATTTCTTACAATGGAGAAGTTGGTAAAGTAGAAACTCCGGCCGATAAACTGAATGCCCTTAAATCTAAATGATATAGCTGAACTTTATATCTTACAAACAAGTATTATTTTCGCATTAACAGTTACTACTTTTATTTATTTTTTGCGAGCCTTTTGATAAAGTTCGAACGCCCCCGTTAAATTATGAAATTTTCCGTTAGAAAAGAAATTATTAATTTAATGCTCATTGCCTAAACTAATTATCAGCAACTTAATCAACAATCTATATTTTACTGTTCAGTAATGGTTAAATATTTTTAAATAACGATGAATAGTATTACCTTTATCAATGTAAATTTGTAATAGTAAAAGCAGTGCAGGGCTTCGGTAAATACTTTCGCTACAAACGATAGTAGCTAATATCTGGGCAACGCTCACACGTCGCAATAACTTCTCCTCTTGTTTTTCATCTTCACTAAGATCTTTTTGCATGAGAAACATACTGTACAGAACATCCTTTAGTTTGTCAAAAAAATCACTTTTCCACTTACAACTTATGTGTTTCATGGAAAATATCGAATACAGGTACTTCAAACTTTCCAATCTTACAAAATAGTAGGGACTCTTGATGAAATCTATGAATACGTCGTGTTTCAGCACTTCGATTTCGGTGTTGGAAAATATTTTATGCTGGACAATACTGTTCAGACTTTGTACAAAGGTTAAATGTGATAAATGTCCAAATGCTCCTTTGGAAAATCGACTATGAAATAATTTAAAAATCATAAGAATATTGTGCACTTGATTTTTATCATTCATGATTTTGTCCAAAATGTTTGGCAAATACTTCAAGAGGCAACAGTTAAATCTGTCATCGCTTTGCCAATGGTCATACAATTGCATTAAGAAGTCCATTAAAATCTCTGTAAATTCTTCGGACACCATGCTACTGGGAAAACTGGCAAATATATCCAAGAAAGTAATAACACATATTACATCAGCTTTATCAGATAAGCAGTACTTTTTAATTTTTAAAACTGTACTCATAATCTTGTATTGCAAATCTGACATTTGTGTTCCTGTATTGATGGAACAATACAGTGCCAGCACTGTATTGGCATTTATTTTACAACAAGATAGTTTAGTATCTTCTACAAATTCATTAATTTTTATTTTTGGGATTTCGTTTATCTTTCAATGAAAAGGTATGTCTATCAACGACAGAATTATTTCATTGACTCGCACATCATACTTTGCTTGAAAAAATGAAATCAAAGCTTTTGTTACCTCTAAACAATGTCGTATTGATTTAGACCAATTAATATTAACAACTTGCTCAACAATTTTATTTAAACATGAAATGAACTCATTGACTAAACAAAATTCATCAAAACTGCACTGTATCATACCCATTGCTTTTAAATCTGTTATTATTTGAGCAATCAATGATGTTTTGTTGATAAACAAGCTTAAATCATGGTCTGGATTGTTTATTTGCATCATTTGTATCAAACTGTTGATAAGAAAATCTAGATTCTCTGCAAGATATGGATTATCCACATGATCATCTTTTTTTGATGTTTGAACATCATTACAACTTTGTTTCTGATTGAAAGCAAAATCTACTTTTAATTTAAAGGATACATAGCACTGCTCAATATCTTCTGTTGTGATTGGTTTTAGATCATCATAAAAGTTATTATCTAAATTTACAAAATTGTACCTCTTATTTTCAAAATCTTTGTCGTTAACTTTCTTGTACCAAGATTTCAATGTGAGGCCAATTAAAATTTTGCTCATTTCTTCGATTGACACGAAGTTTGCTAGTCGTTTTGTAAACGAGTTTAATGTAATTTGCAATAATTTTAGTTTTAAAGTATCACTAGGGATTTGTGCTAAGTTTCCATCTTGGGTATCAATACTATTTGGCAGAACAAAATTTTCACAAAATACTATTAAAGTTTGAATACTGTAACTAGACCATTGTATCGAGTTGGTTGAATACAATCGCAATAGAGAGTTTGGATTTGATACTTTTTTATGAGAAATAAAATTTTGCACCAATATATAGCCCTTTTTAACAATGTCATTGTGACTCATACTTAAATACCTTAAGAAAAAGGATTAAAATTTATTTCATTATTGTAATTTTAAAAAAGGCAAAAATGAGACAACCAGTACCTTAATACAGCATCCCAGACTTTGTCCCACTGAATTTTTAAATCCTCTTCATACCTTTGTGAATTCTGGATGAAAACTGTTGCAAGCTCACAGAGGTTTTCCATTATGGGATAATTTTTACTCGCTTGATGCATTAGCTTCACCGTAATATCTATAAATTCGATGTACTCATTGAATCTCAAGCAACCTGGATACTTTTTATACAAAACTGAAGCTATCTGAATTATGGGCCAAGCTCTCATTGGGTCTTTATCATTAACAAGATTTACAATTTTATCCTGATCTTCGATGCGCATCTTCTTTGAGGGCTGAATGTATATACTATTATGAAAACTACTTGCTTGTGATAAACTCGGTAAATCGTTGCAAATGTGTTGTCTAAAAACTAAGAATAATCATTGAATGTCATAATGTGAAGCACAGTAAATTAAGGAAAAATTTTAGAATACATCATATATTTTAAAAAGATAAATGAGAATTCATTTGTAGTGTTACCTTCACTGGACAAGTCAATGAAACTTTTTGGTAATTTTATAGGTTTAATGTCGTTCAAAATCATTTTGAACAATAGTGTGAGTATTGCTTTCCACTTTTCGTCATCAAAAGCATAATAATCATTATTTCCTACTATGGCACCATTTGGATGATGAACTTGTATAAACAAAAGGTATAACTTATACTTTTCTTCTGGACCCTTTAAGCTAATCAATGACAATGGCATATTCTCTGCAAATCTACATATTATGAATCTACTATCCACAACAATTTGTTATGTTGTGAAGTTCAAAGTTTTCCAAAATTTTACCTACAAAACAAAATGAGATAAGTTTAAAGGTTGCCAAAAAAAAATTTATAATGTTTTATAACAATAATATACCTATTATTGGCAACAGTTTTTTTGTTTCGTACAACAAATTTGACAATGATGAACCATACCGAACAATTAATTCAATAGTTTCAAGAACTTCAACGTAGTTCACATCAGGAACAATATTTGTAATCAGTGAAACACAAGTATCAAGTAGTTCTGTCCAATGACTGTGAGCAACTTTTATTTGTTGGGATCTTTCTTGAAGCACGTACTTTTTCAAAATACCTAGGTACATTCCATAATACTGGTGATAAATATTACAAACATCAATCTGTAAAACTTGAAGGGTCGAAATGACAACATCTTTTGGCTTCAAGTGATACTTTGCTTTTTCTGAAGTAGCATAAACAAGTTTTATTATTCTTTCCTTGTCAAGTGAGCCGGAATTTCCACGAAGTTTGCTAATTCTGTCAATTTCCTTTATGAGTGAAACATTAAAAATATAATAGTTATTATCTTTAAAAAATTTAACATATCTCTATACTTGGTGCTAAAATCTTACGGTCATAAACAATTCATGAACAATCGTAAAAATTTCGTTCCATGAATACGAATCGGACGCCTTCTCAGCTGCAGGCTTCTGTGAATACTCAGTTATTTGCTGTAAAGCAAATTCTGAGTTATCATCCCAAAATTCTAGCAGTAGCTTGATGGCTTTCTGTATACAGGCAAAAATAAAAACAAATGAAACGCCAGTCGGATCTCCCCCGACGTAAGGTTATCATGTAATCGAAATGACCAAACAAACCTTGTAATCGGTCACTTTTTTACTTTTGGCCAGCCCAACGATTTGCGAAAGCCGATCCATGCAAGAGGACATGTTGACAATTATAAACAGTAACAAAAACAGACGAACACAAATCCACAATGTAGATCAGCAACAACCTTTTGGCACATTATCCACGGGAAAACACATCTCAGTCGTACAGACACGGGACAGCACGAATAATAAATTAACACTCACGACCATAAGTACTTGACATTTTTCGAGATCAACGGAATGTTTCTGATCAAATTAAGGGTTAAACTTTTTTGGAATGTTACGGTCTTTGCTTGATCCCCACTGTTCCACACGTATATTCAAGTATATCGGTTTTGTTTTCGAACGCGCATTAACACGTGCTGTCGTCTGCCAATATGTTTCTCCCGTCCCTCTTCCCCCTATACCCTCAGCCAGCTGATTTCTGATTACCTCATTTCGCTAGCCCAGCCCTGACTGTTTGAATTTGTTCGGGTAAAAAAATATAATAATTTAAAATTACTTATGTTTTTTTATTACTTATTCGCTAACTGGATCTAAGTTAGATTTTTTTTCTGCTCCTCGAGTATAATTATAACGCACGAAAATGTTTCACATTATTAATTAATAATTTTGAGATTCCATGTAATAGAACAGAGTATCACTCGGACGTGCGCGAGCACTGAAACGCTCAAAATGTTAACTGCAAAAAAAAGTGTTGCGTCTAAATTTATCAGAATTTTCTTTTTGGAGATGTTAGAAGAAAGTATATAGTCACTTAATGGTGATGTGATGTGACTTGTTGAAATTTTTTTTTTTTTAGTACCTTGCCAAGGCTCTAAAAAATGGAAAAAACGCACTTTTCAGAACTTTAGGAATAAAGAATTAGCTTAAGTGAAAGGCATAAAGTCGTTAATGTGGTGATTATAATGTATAGACAAATATATATAGACAAAGAGCCTCCTCTAATGAGCTGATAGTATCGGTGGCTCCGAAGAGCGCATGCCTTAAGGTATTTATTTTCAAATATGCAAGCGAGACAACGATACCATTATCACGCGGAAGCGTGTACTCACATTATTTGTTGTTAAGCCATTAAGTATCACGAATCACACATCACACACGTAGCACACGAATAGTTATGCGCGCAGTTGTAGAGAAAGCTCACTACCGTTTTTTCTATCGAATAGACCACGTCATCAAATCAACAACTTGTTAAGTTTTCCAAATATAACAGTGGAAGTTCATAGTTTAACTGTTACTTATCGTGCCCTACTTGTAATATTACAACTAGTTGTGATTATCATCAAATTTTCTGGACAGTAACATATAACATAATAGTAAGTATGATCAATGTTGATAAAAATCATAATATTTAACCATTTCAATCAATCAAAAGTTTCAAAACCGGACAATGGGTAATAGTAATTTACGATCAGTGATATCCGAGAAAAATTAAGAAAATTAAGAAAAATTGAACAACTGTTTTTTTAGAAAAGGAAAATATATTTAATGGCCGAAAAATAGTCAAGTTAATACTGAATTTTTGACGTTGGACTATGTAAAACAGATAAGCCGATTAGTACAGCTAAAAAAATGTTTTTGAAATTAGCGATCTAGAATATAAAAAAAACGGCAATGTCTGATTCATGTATTACTTAGAATCCATAATTATTTATTATAATATTTGGTGATATCAGTAATTATGTAACTTATTTCATATAAGGTTATGTACTATGAACGTAATTTTTCAGAGGAATTTTTTTTTTTTCAACTTGAATAAATTGGAAACTATTTGCATATTTTTCAGTTAAAAATTTCATTAGCGTCTTTACCTCAGCAATAGTTAGTTCCTAATGTGTAATGGAGTCCTGTTTATTTATTGAGACAGATTACTTACAAATCAAATACTTTATGTACATTATAAAAGCGAGAAAATAGTTTAATAAGGCGGTTCAAGTTCTAGCTAAGCCAGTATTTTTAAAAAATTCAATATTATAATCTTCTGCATCATAAAAAAACCGTGTTTCGAAGCCTAAAATTCTGGTTCACGATTTACCTTTTTTTGGAGGGTACACAGAAAAAGAAAAATTTTATTTCAAAGATGTGCCTTGAAAAAGTATTTAATTTTGTTTGGACTTATGAGTGCAAATTTAAATTGGTTTTTCTAATATATTCAAATGAAAAATTTAGTAACCAAGATTTTGTATAAGAAAATTGCAAATGAAGATGAACTTGCATTAAAATATTATTTTCCTAAAATTTTTCAAGACATTTTGCTACAGTAAGCAGTCATACTTTAATTCTCGAAATTATATTTTTCTTGACATTTAACGTGCAGTTTATTTTTAATGTATTTAAGAAACTATATTACAAAAACCATATCAATTAGAAACTATTTTTTTAATCTATTAAAATTTTTACTTTCTTTTGTATTAAAAATATAATAGCTTTTTTGGCATGAATTAACAGTAAAGCAGTTTTAAAACATTCTTTTATAAAATGAAATTTCTGTTACATATTTTACATAAAGTCACTACGCACAATGTTTAATGCTACTTTTTAAAAGATTTTTTCATGTGTTGTAAAATTATACTGTTCATCACAAAAAAAAAACTAATTGCCTTTTTAAAGATGAGGGTAACAGAAAAGTTTTTGACAGTTATTTTGTCTCTTCTTATGAAAACTTATTTCTAAAATAATGACGTATAACTGGTATTATATCTTTGATATTTATTGAACGAAAGTAAACGGTATAACGGAGGAAAATAGAAACGGTGTGAGAGGTTCGAGTCTTCAGAAAGAAGTGAAGAGAGAGTTGCTCCTGCTTGACAACACAGTCACTTTGTTGATTTCTCTGGTTACCAAGTTATTCGCTGCATAAAACAATTGCCACCATAGCCTCCCGTCCGCAAGAGAGCCATTACCCCCCTTGCCCCGGTGCTCCTTTCATTTTTGAACAGGAAAATGCGGCCCCGGACATTCCAAACGAAAGCCGTGCACGCGGCCTTTCGAATCGTCAACTTTGCGATTCGCGGGCGCAGTTATACAAACAATCGATAACATATAGTATTTAAAAAACGAGCTACTCTCTCCTTCTCTTTCATTCTTACATTCTTTACATTTCTCCCACTCATACAAAACTTTATTTTGTACTCAAGCATACTTGACAAGCTTTCTCGCTGGTCTTGTTAATGTTCCGTTCGCAATTCGAACTTTAGCGCTACGTACTTGACCGTCGTCACGATTCACAAAAACTTTGGTAATTATACCCTTTCTCCAATAATTTCTTTTAACCTTATCATCTAAAATTATTACTAGATCACCCTCTTGGAAAGGTGCCTCACTTTTTTGCCACTTTTGTCGTGGAATTAAAGTAGGAAGATATTCACGCAACCATCTTTTCCAAAAAGCGTCAGCAAAGCTTTGAAAAATTTTCCACTGTTTTCTCGTACAAACGTTTTGTAAATCGCACCGACTTATTCTTATCTGCCCTGAAGACGCTCCCAATAAAAAATGGTTAGGCGTTAGGGCTTTAATATCTCGGGAATCAGAAGAGACATGTGTAAGAGGCCGAGAATTAACAGAATGCTCTATTTCTGCAAGAATTGTCGCGAGCGTTTCCTCTTTTGGAGCATGTTCTTTTAAAACAGCAGTTAGGGCAACTTTAACCGATCGAATGAGACGTTCCCATGCACCTCCCATATGAGGTGCGGATGGCGGATTAAACTTCCACTCAATATTTCGATTAGTCATATAATTACCCAAGCTTTCGCGATTTAAGTTCTTTTTACATTGAGAAAGCTCTTTACTCATTCCCCTGAAATTCGTACCGTTATCAGAATATATTGTTTCAGGAGTTCCCCTTCGGGCGGTAAAACGTCTCAGAGCCAATATCGCGGAATCTGTACTTAAACTAGATGCAAGCTCAATATGAATGGCACGTGTAGTCATACAGGTCAGTAAAACTCCCCAACGTTTTTCGCGCCTCCTCCCTATTTTAACCTGAATAGGCCCAAAATAATCAAGTCCGCAATGAGTAAATGGACGACAACGGTAAGCTAAACGTCCTGGGGGTAGATCAGCCATTTTAGGTTGTGCTGGTTGACCTTTCCGAATTTTACAAATTATACACGTACTCGATAAGCTTTTAAGACCTTGACGCAAACCCACAATCCAATAATTCTGTCGTAGTTCGTTAAAAACCGTTTGATGATTAGCATGATAATATTTTTCATGGTATTCCTTAATTAATAATTTTACGATCGGATCTTTTGCACAAAGAATAACAGGATTTTTA